CCAAGGAGACAGGTTGCACCAAGTACTGAGCTGTCTCCTACTTGATGCTTAAACCATGTCAGAATTCATTCTGTCCAAGCCAAAGCATGCCAACAAAACGCAGGTTTTTATTTAGAAAGCCCAGGCCATTTTCAGCAGCAAACATTTAGCCATCTCCAGGGTGATGTGGCAGCTCAAGGAATTTGAGCCATCTAAGACTGAAATTCAAAATAATCAAAAACCAGTCCATTTGCGTAAATACCTCCCTTATTTTCTTTCTAACTCCCATTAGTTACGTATTTGCTTCATTAATCTCCAGAATGATTTTTCTAAAAATTAAATTCAAAAAGTGCAAAAAGTAATTTCATAAAGTGAGTTGCATTAAGTTGAGTGCAACAGATGGGCTCAGAACACCCAAAAGCATCAACATTTCATGGATCTATAAAACCTTGAACAATTAAACAAGGTTCAGAATTTTGCAGATGGAGACCTCAGCCTACTCAGTCCAATAACAGTGTCATTACAAAGCCTGTCTCCAAAGAAACCCTTTCTCTCTAATTTGACAGTCTTTTGATAGTAGTCTCTGACTTTTCTTGAAGAGAAAAGTTAGGTAGGATGGGAAGAATGTGAAGCTGTATGGTGATATTCCAAACTGATTTAACCACCTAATTTCAGCTCCTTGAAAACAAATCTTCAGGTTCTCTGATTGGTTTCCATTCATACGTGCAATTTCGTCAGTTAAAACTGAGGGTAGAGCATGGAATTTCATTAGTCATTTCAAACTGGAAAACTTGTAACTGATTTGGCCTTTTTAAAGTGTCTGTTTCAGCAATCCTTTTTGTTCAAAACAGGCAGGTGAAAGCAGAAGCTGGGAAAGACAATACATCAGTTTTAGAGGGTTTAATAAAATAGCTAGAGCTTAATTTTAAACAATCTAGAGTCCAGACCTTTCTCTTTTATGAAGACAAACTAAGAACTAATTCACACCAGAAAAGATTTGCTACTATACCTAGACAGGTAGAATCATCCCGGAAAATACCCTAATGGTATAACAGGCCAAAAAAAATGGTAGCGTAGCTCAAAGATGCTGCTTTTTTGTAGAAATATAGTTTAAAAAAAGGTATATATATGCAAAATTAATATTCCAGCAAGGGATGACTGTATGACTGAGCATACAGTGGAATACTTCTGCCAATACAGCATGCTAGGATACAGACACTCTCAGAAAAGAACTTTTAGTATAAAGGCAGCTATACAAGTAAAATAAATAAATATACTTTTTCCTAGAATAACTTATTCCAGCATCCTGTTCATCTACACAAAAACAGACATAAAGTTAAACTGCTCCCCAATATTTATGAGAGATTTCTTTTCCTGGGATAAACACGTGTCTGTCAGGGATTTTTCAAATACCTGATAATACAGCTAAGAAGTCAGAAGCCTGTAATACAGACTTGTCCTAATAAATAAATGATTGGAAATGTTTACTATCTCCTATATTTGGGCGGCGAGAAGTGCTAGAGCTGAGTATTTTAAATGGAGGTCAGTTTTGATGGCTAGCATTTTGTCTCAAAGGGCCCTGGATTGCCGACATTAATTTCTTAGCAGCTGAGGCGGCTTTTCATGTCTTAGTTTAGGAATGTGAGAAGGCAACAGAGGAAGTGAAAACTTGGACATTCTCTGATAACACATAGTTTGGGGCAGGCCACATGGTCAAAGTTCGTGTGAGAACACAAGAAAGCAAAAATCTGCAAATGATGATAGAAATCTGAAAATCTCTCTTTTAATGGACTCAATATTTTACACAAAATAGGATTTTAGTATTTGGAACACATATCTGGGTGAGAAATTTTCTTATGCAATTTCTGATTAATGAGAATTATACAGATAGAGTTTTCCATATGGTGAAAATCGTTATACTGTCTTCACCTATTTATGGACATTGACATTTTACAGCTCTTTAAATACTGTTAAATTTGACACTGTGTGTGAGAAGTACAAGTACTATTTTTACACGAGTGATTAGTATTTAACAGAAGCAAACAGCTTCAGGTATTAGTGATTCTGATTTTGCTTATTCAAATGCAGTTTGACTGGACAGTGGAAAGTAACAACAGAACTAAAATCAGGTTCACATAATGGCACACGAAAAAATTATTCTTACAGTTGTATTAGCAGAACAGAAGATTTTTCATGTGAATGGCTTGGTGGGTTTTTCTTTTTGTTTTTTATTTTGTTTCCAAATTAGTATAGCTGTAGATTTTTGATCTTGGAAAGTTCTGATATTTCCCCTGCAAATTTCATATACTTCAAATGTCAGTGTTTTATAAAAATTCTAAAGGCAACAGGATTTTCTGTTTGCTGTGAAGATTTTTGGGTTGGAATGTTTTTGCATTGAAACATCTGGGATCCTTTTCTCACATTGTTCCTTTCTTTGTTTTCTTTTATGTGATCCATTTCCCATTCATTTTCTTTACCAGATTTATTATCAATACTTTCATTGTCAACCTTTGCTTACTTTTGTCCTTCTTCCAGTCCAGATATTCTGTGCTCATTTTAATCAAGAAAGATAAGTAAAGGCTATACATAAAATCCCCACAGCCCTGACAATCACCAAAATGCCCAGTGTCCCAGACATCATACAGCTTCAACCTAAGGCAAATTAATTTCTACAGATCCTTACTGGAAGCCTTCATGATAGACATCTGTGGCAGTGCCTGTTGTGCACAGGTATTACCAATAATACTACTAGACATTTTTCATTGACCTAGTTGGCTGTGTTAAACTCACTTAGGTCAATTTGATGTCCAGAATGCTAGCAGGTATTATCTGCAACTGAAATCAATGGACGCTTTGCATGGTTTAACTTCAGAGGAGAGAACCTCGCAGAGGGCTAGGAGACTGCATTGGTAGTCAGGCTCTGAAAAGGCACAAAAATCACAATGCATATCAACACCAGCTCTTTGCACCAGAGCTGACCACGCCAGCAGCACTGGCAGCAGAAATGAAGACAACTGAATGCCCCAGACTACAGTACTAGCACAAAGCTGGAAATAGCTAAGGGCCAAGGCAGCACCACAGAAAAATCAACACTAATGCAACCAAAGCGATGACATTACTGATGCTGGCAGAAATCAGTCTCATAAGGTTTTGCCTCAGGTGTGGCTGGAAGGAACAGCTGTCAAGCCATGATTTTCTTGGTGCTGAAGGATGGCCTGAATAGCTAGGCATTCGTCTGTAGCAATCACCGAGGCCTCCAGAGATGCAGTGTGCTGGAATCCAGAAAAAGCAGGTAAGAAGGCTAGATGGCTTGCAAGCAACTTCTCATTTGGTCTTTCTTAAGCTACTAGGTATCAAAGATATCAAGGACAAGGCAGAATGATCTGACACAGATAAAATGACCCAGGCTCCTAGATCTGAAGACTTAATCCTTCTGGCACGAAGCCCCACCACTTGGAAGCTACTATGCTTCATCTGTGATATAGAAGAGCAGTGGAATTTCTCAGGCACGTTGTTCTAGGCTGTGACAATACAAATACATCTGGAATGAAAGTCATATGATTGACCATGACTATCACAAGCGGTACAGAAAGATGCTTTTGAAATCAAAATATAATCAAAAGGAGTCAGGCACAAAGTATTGCAGTTCAGTGAGGAAATGAGAAGAACTGAAGTTTCAGCATGTGTTACCCCTTACGTCACACACAGAGCATAAAGAACATGCCAGCTACAGATGCTGCAAAGACAGACTAACTGGTGGCAGAACTGAAGAATGGATGTGTGAACTAAGAACTTGCTTCTATTGATAAGCAATAGAGTGTAAAGCAATTTGATCAGAAACAACGTATTTACACAGTATTTTGTATAAATTATGTAAATATACAAAATATACAATTTCTATTTTATAAAATACATGATTTTGCTATAAATTTTGAACTGTCAGTACCAGCTGTTTCAACCCAGAATTTGACATTTCCAGTGAAACATTTAGAAACATTAGTGAATTGATTTTATTTCTTAAGTGTCTTTATCAGTGAGTCTAGAATAGGAGGCATAAGGTGTAAGGGAGGTTCTTATAAAATTCCAGTTGCACCAAAAACAGCCAGTAGGTTTTACAACATTAATCTGAAGTAGATGTAAAAACAAACTGGCAAGGCAGAACAAGTTAAAGCTTGTGTCTAAATTAAATTTGAAGTACGATGCTACGGGCATTGATACAACAGGTAATACCACAAGCAGCATGCATCCTATCTGTTGAACACAGCAGCGCCTAATCAAGCAGAACTGCAGGAACGGGATGACTTTTCTTTCTTTAATGAGCAACTCAGCATGCTGCAGAGCAGAACCTCCAGGAAACACAAGATCTGTCAACAAGAGCCGAGAGCCTGCAGCTCATGCAGCAACTCAGAAACTGTTGAGAGGACCAAGAAAGTTTATAAGAACCAGAAGAAATTGTTAAAGTGCTTGCTGCAACTGAAAGATACTGAACTGACTGAAGACAAGCCTGAAAGCATAGATGTGCCTGCAAGGACAACACGTAGGAGAAAGAATTAGGTGTAAACTGTATGTTGTCCAATTCACTCTGAGTTAAAGATTTGATTATCCAAGTTCACAACTGGCTTCAGCAGACTAAAAGCCTTTTGACCTCTTTATGATCAAAAGAAAAAGGAAAAAAGACTGACACCACATCAAAGCTCTGGCAGAGTCTAGGTCCCACTACAATAAGAATCTGCATTAGCAAAGCTCACCCCTTCATATGGTTATAATCAGGGGGTGAAAATAGAAGTTTTCAATGGATTTTTAAAACTACCTCCCCAGCCTCCAAGGCATACCAGAAAATTCTGGAGAGATGCAATATACCGTCTTTCCACTGGCCAGAACTGCAGTGTTATGGGCAGTTCATTCAGTGAAATGACCTCATAGGTAATTTCCTCCTGCCCCCCAAAGCAGTATTTATATAAGCTAGAAACAACAGTTACTTCTGTGTTATTTAAAAAGACCAACAAGAACACAATGGTGTTTGCTTCTTTTATTATGAAAGATACAAAACCAGAGAGTGTAGTGAAGTTATCGTTAGAAACGTGAACTTTTCTTGAACCAACTTTCTATTTACATACACAAAATTCCCCAATTGGAACAGTATCAAATGTGAGACACATTATCAGAATATACCATATATACAAGTTCAGAGATTTAATATCTCTGTTACTCTATACATGATTGTTACACAAAAAGTCAATTCCTACCTGTCTTACACAAGTATTTTAAATTAAGCTTATGAGACTACTCAAGCAAAATAAATCGGAATCTGGGCAAAGTTCTGCTATCTGAATGGTTACTTCATAAATATAGTACAAAATAATAGAGCCAGGTTTTCAGCCAGGCTCAATCTTCTGTTGTGTCAAATAGCCCATGCTCCAAATTGAGCGAAGTAAAATTATGGAAACTATTACTGATTTTTATTGACATCAAACCAGAAATATCTCAGGAGTCAAAGATGCACTGGTTGTCAAATCACTGATCAGTTATTAGGAAAAGCAAGTCTTTTTATTTATTTCTTTAAAACTCTTCCCTCAAACAGAAAAGCCAAATAAAATACTTGAGCTTGCTTTGTGTGATCTGACATTCTGTTAAAAAAAAAGGACACACCACTTCGTATTGTTTTTAACTGGAACCAACTACTGCTTAGTAAAATAAGGCACTTCTTCCTTTAGATCAGTCCACTTCCCTAGATTTTAGTTTAGCTCCATTTTACACAAAGAAGTGATTTCAGCTATGCCACTTGTGACAGCAGAAGGGATGTTGTTAAGAACTGTTGCTCTCCAAGCATGGATGGCCTCAACAATACCTTCTGGATTGCTTGAACCCAAGTCACACAGTGAATATATGGCTGCCAGCTGCACACCCCAGGGAACACCTGCAAAAAGTTAACACAAATCAGCTTATAGAAACTTTGATATGCAATAATGTTTTTGGGAAACCTAAATCTAAAGAAACTATTAGTTCAAGAATTGGAATTAAAACACATCAACAACTGGGACGCCTAAAACCAGAAAGCAGCAAGATGACAACCTGCACACAAATTCCGTAACATCTCGTTTTATACTAGCACTTTCCAGTTTTCTGAATTCAGCAGGTTTTCAGTATCAAAGGGCATAGAAGATTTGAGCATCTAGTGATTTTACTCTAGTTAAGGGTGATCAGACTTACTTGGAAGAACTTGAAATGGCAAGGAAAAGAAGCTATACAAGTGGTTCAAAACAGCTCTCTAACATCAACCAATGCTTCACTGCAAAATGTACTTACCATCCAGAATAACTTAGCGATATAGATCTCTGCTGCCCTAATTGCCTTGCTTTGTCTCAGTCAGGAATTTGGACTGTCTTGCAACCCTCTCCCAATACAACAATCTTGCTAGTAGCAAGCTTCAGCATGAGCTGCTCGGGTGACAAATTAGCTATTACTGCTCAAGTTAAGATCACCCTTTAAGTTCTCTGAGGCAGCTGATATGCTGTTACATGAAGCAGTGTAATTCCAAGGTGGCTGAAACTATCTCAGAGTTGTTCTCTGTCTCAAACACATGCTTCATTAACTTCGGAAGACAAAGGGACTCAAACTGAAAACGGTTTGTACTGTTATGCACTAACATAAAACTGCACAAGCAGGCTGTTTTGGCACGTGTGTCTCAATTTGTGTGTGTTCTGTTTACATTGGCAAAACTTCACATTGCAGATGTTACACTAAAGTTCCTCTAAATAAACCTTACCTTCCTCCTTTGCATGCTGTACAAACAGCCCAATTACAGAACTAATATTCTTCACTGCAGCAAGATATCCTTCCTTCAAACCTATTTGGCCCAATCGACCTGAAAGAAAAAAAAGGTTACTATGTATCTGACATTTAGTCAACTTCCTAATTTTTAGACTTACTGATTGTCTGTTGAAGTATCAACAGAAAATGGAAATTTCAATTACAAAAATCAGTCACTCTTGTTACCATGCTGTCTTGGGAACAACAGCTGTCCTACTCCTTTTGTGACTAAAGGCATTTTTCATCAGATTGATCCAACCTCCCGCAGGTTTACAATTTGTAAGTGTAAAACTCTCAACGAATGCTATTTCTGTTTAACAAACAATATGATATAGCCTCCATACTGAAAATATCTATTGAAACTCAAAAGTTTATCTATTTACCTTGAATGCCATCTAGATCCCAAATAAATTAATCTAACTTAAAATCGCAGGAAGAGGTATTATGTTGCATACAAAACCTTATTTTATACACTTTGCTATAAAGCATATGTAGCTACAGGTGATTTCATTTTAAATACATAAAACCTGTTGGTATTTGTTATCGTGAAATCAGAGTAACATCTCTCAAAACTTAAGTACATGCTTTCCACAGGCTGACAAACAGAAAATATCTGCATAGGATTGTAAAAGTTTGGCTTTTAAGCTGAAAATTTTTGAAGAAAGTAGAAGAAAAAAAAAAAATCAAGATCCAAAAAAATGCAAAGATGCTTTAATTTACTTTCCAGGCAGGCTGACCTGGAAAGTAAATTAAAGACCTTTCAAAGGACGTATTTACACAAAGAAGTTCAAACAAGAATTTAGATTACTTACCAATTAGCCTGAGTGTCAATGCTATAACGCTATCAGGAATAGATTGAGCAGTTTCATGCCCCTTTCTCTTCTTCACCCATTTATCCATAGAAGGCCAAAGCACTTTGCTGTGGAAGACAAATGAATTTGAAAATCTGATACTGCATGAAGGGGTGGTACAATATTTATACAATAATGAACGCAAATGGTACTTCTGTTTACCATGTATTTCCAAAACTCCACTTGCATCTTTAACCCACCTTCTAGGGAAACTCACAATATGCCATGCATCCACAAATCTGAGCAATGTAAAGGTTTTAAACCCAAACAATCAAAGCTAACTTTCTGGAGGAATGATTCCTGTTCAGAATAGTATTCCTGTTCATCTTTCATTCATTTTCCTGCAACATTCTGCATCTCTACCTGAAGTTAAGAACTTACTCCACTGACTTCATAGATGTATATGAAATCACATGACTTTCAGATGTCATGCTGAGATGTTATGCAAGCTTCTTATATGACTGAAAATTCACAGTTTGCATGTTACAAGTAGGATCTGATGCTTGTTTTTAAACCTGAAAGGACCTGAGATAAGACTTTTTTCATCCCTAAAATGATGCTAATAGACCCAGTTACCTGTTATCAGCACAACTCCACACAGACAATCAACTCTGTACGGCTTTAGTTAAAATGACATACCTTTCACTGAAGCTAATTTGTATTCATTTTAAAAGTATTTCACTAAAAATAACTTCTTTACTATTTGAAAGCATGGAACTTGTATAAAAGACTTGATGATGATTGTAAGTTATTTGCATTTACTTTATCCTCAATGATTACGTTATGTCATAGTTAAACAAATGCCATATTTTTTGAGATTCTACTAGGTTATATAACCTCTACATAGAAAATAGGGGCTGTCAGATCAGTGTAGGTATCGAAGATCAGTGTAGGTATCAAAATGAAGTCTTTCAAACCAAGTTAAGTACGGTAGCAGTCCATGCACTGGATTATAGGGTTCAAAGAAAATTTAAGACGTTGAATCTCAGTATTATAATGATTTTAGAATTAAAATCAGACTGAAATCAGGATAGTATACTAATGAGTATGGTTACATTTCACTTTCAGCACTGAAGGAGTGCTATTTACACATCAAAAGTTCCACCCTCATTTTCTAGTGTTGGGAGGGAGGGGAATTCAACAATTAAGTTCAGAGGAAGACAATCATTCATTTTGCTTCATTGACAAACCATCCATCTCAAAATCTTTCACATGTGTCCACATATAGCTATTTTAAAAGCAATTCTTTATTAGAACGGTTCAAACAGGGTTAATTTCTTGGATCAGTACCACAGAATCCTACATTTCCTCATTGATCACTCATTCTATCTTAAAATAAGGCACAGAAACACAGTAGTCTAGGTCTCATCAAGTTAAAACGCCCTCATTTCTAAGTATCTATGCAATGTTTTATTATGTTAAAAGCTAAGTCATAATGTCTCAAATTCGGAAAAAAAACCCAACACCAAAACAAACCACAAAAAACCCACACAGGAAAACATTTGAAAGAACTGCTTGCCACAATACCTTATAACATTGTCATGTGTCCAATCCCACTTCAGGTGAGAGCAGAGTAGATCAACAGCAAATATGTACTGCCAAGCATCTTCACTCAGATCTTCTCCGTATTGCTCACTCAGTTGAAATTCTACTTTTGGACACGACTGCATTTCTAAAAGCAGGTTTGAGACCATAATACCAGCATCTAAAGAGGAACTCTGGAATTTTAGAAGGCGATTATCTTAATGCATGAAAAGTTACCAACCCAGAACCAAACTCTACATATATTTGATTCTGACTGTCCACAGCATCTTACACCATAAATTCAACTTTGGATTTGACTTAACACAAACAAAAAGAGTACATAAACTAAAATTTTCAAGTACTCAGCATTTTTCTTGATGCTTTTACTAAAAGGAGAGTTTGGAAAAAAAATCCCCAACAAAAACCACAAACCCTACACCCACTCTCTTTTCTCCTCCTACAATTTGGGGATTTTTGTTTCTCCCAATGAAGCTTTAAGGTCAGAAGAGTATTTCCAATGCAAGGAGATTAGACTAATCCTGCTTGCTTTCGAAGTTTGGGGTTTTTTTAAATTTATTTTCTGATGCTGAAATTTGTTACTGTTTATTGTTCATTGGGGCTAATTTCCAAGCAAGTACTTTCAATAGTTGAGGTAGTAATAACTGAAAACATAACACATGAAAAAATTCTGCTAACTGAATATCTAGGGCAAGCAAGGAAATTTAAAAACAAACATCCTTTGAATATCTGAAGTATTAAGAAAAAAGTCTAGGCTTATCACATAAACAACAGTGGGTACTCAGCATATCTTCTCGGTACAAAAGCTCATATAATTGGTAAGTTCTGCAACGGTGCAAGTCACTAAAATGGCATACTTTGACCAAGAATTAAATACCCATTCTACATGAGCTTTACTTTCATAAGTAGAATAATCTTCTCATAAAATTATATGTGTAACAGACTGTCGACCACAATCCGCTTGAAATTTGTCCCTGTATTTCCACCTAAGTAAAAAACATCTTACAGATAGGATGATGTCATCTGCTATCATCAATATAGAAATTCCTGAGGTCCCTCTCCCCACCTGCAGCAGCTCTCATATTTCATAGAGATCCATAAAGAAATTAGGTAGTATGAGTGCACAGAATTAATATTTCCAGGAACATTTACTGAGACATACTTATGTTCATCTCTATTGGCATGAGATTGAAAGCTGTAACCTAATAGAATGGAGAATACAAATTCTTTGCTAAACAGGGATTGCAGTACAGCATAACTCTGAATAACAGAGCTCAATGCTACATCACAACTGTGATTTAATCAAAAAAGAAACATATACAAATCCATGCCCTCTTAACTCACTCCACTGTAAACCTGCACTAAATCAGGAGGTTAGCCTGATTTCTATAGGTAATTACCCCCTAATAAGGGGCTGTAATTCCAGTAGTACCATATTAAATTCAGGGCTGGTTTCAGATCTAAAAAAAATCATCGTGCTTTTTCCAGTGGGTACACCACCTAAAGGCTATGCTGACAGCAGTAAGCCTAGCTGCAGTCCCCAAGGCAGTTGTGGAGCAGCATGTTAGGATAGGGAATAGGTGAGCTATGAATCAAGATGATTTTGTTCACTTGATATTTACAGAACTATAGCACTTCCACCAAGCAAGCCTGGCATTAATATGGGGTTTTCAAAACTACCGAGGCCCTAGCCTTCAAGCAAACACATGAGCCTGCTACACAAACTCCTTCTCCAGAACCAAAGTACCTCTGGCTTTCCACCTGCATGATATAAATTTGCTCCTACTGATACCAAGTGTGTCCAAATTTTGCCTCTTTGCAACATCCCTTTTAGGATGGTAATATGCGCCTGCTGAAAACTGTCAGAAATTAAATGACTCGCCCAAGGGATCAGACTTGAAGTCAAATCTCAAAAGTCCTTAGGTCCTTAACATTGGTCATCCTTCTGCCATCACTGCAGTTTTATACTGATCATGCCAACTGCTTTTGAAATTAATTGGCTGATATTTTTTTGGTAATAAATGGGTACTTACAGTCTACCTCACAGAAAGATCATGAGTAAAAAGAGATAGGCTCATCTTGAAATTAACTGGGATAAATAATTACCTATTACACAGAGAACTATGAAAGACACACAAGCCCAATACATATTAAAAAACCCCAACAAAATGAAACAAAAAAACACCTCAAAGAACATCAAAGTCATAGTTTCATAGAGGGACAGAATTCCCTAGTCCAAGAATACTCCAGTCAAAGTTTAAAAACAATGTTTACTTTTAAAGTTTAATAGAGGGATTAGTATGTAATAGGGAAAACAAGAAAAGTGTTGTGTTCTAGTAGGGTCTAGACAACCACAGGAAAAAGGCCTGAAGCAGCATTAGTTGTGCAATTGTACGGACTCCATGGGAGATTCACAGGGTTTCTTCACACCCTTTAATCAGAAGTAAGCTGCTTGATTTGATTCAGCCAGCAAAGCGACCAATGCAGACTAAAGCCGATACTGACAATGAAACGTTACCTGTTCCCAGTTGAGATAAGCACTCAAACAGGCCAGCATCTCATCGCTTGCACTCTGCCTGACAACTAGGTGCACAGCTTTGTTAATTGCACCTTGGAAGACAAGTATGTCAGACCATACATTTGTGATAAATAAAATCAATTTTTCTGAGTCTGGAAAGTCTAAGGGAAAAAAGAGAGAACAAAGTTAATTTTTTAACATTTAAAAACAAAAAAATATATACTTGGGCATTAAAAGCTAGTACACTCTTCAGCAAGACAACTAGGAAAGAAGGTATAGAAGTCACGTAACAACTGCAGCCCAGGGAAGGAGAATCATAGTAGCACATCTCAGTCCCGAGATTAAATAAGAAAAAAAGACCCAAGAAAAAAAAATCCCCTCCCAAGCCCACCTTCCCCTTTT